AAACATATATATATATATATATATATATATATATATATATAGTAATTCGTTGGTATAATCAAGGCGACTCCTGTCAACACGACATATAATTTGAAATATGTTAAAACTGACTCACAAAAGAGAGCTCAATGTTTATTTTCATTAAACAGGGCAAATGTTCTTTACAATTGGAATAAGGATACCTTTAGTAAATGATCATTTTCACCTACGAATTTTAATTTTAAAACTACAAACTGATACTATAAACATTTTGAAAAAAATCCTGCGAATTTTAGAATTAAGATTCGTAGGTGAAAATGGTCATTTACTAAAGGTATCTTCATTCCAATTGTAAATATATATATATATATATATATATATATATATATATATATATATATATATATATACGTGTGTGTGTGTGTGCTAGAAGTTGATTCTCGATTTATAAGTGCCTTTCCATTTTATTTGTGTCTCTGAGCGTGTATTTAAATGCATGTTTGCAGACTTGAGTCTTCTAATGATGTAAGGGTAGACGCTCGCTATGTTCTTGTATTCATGCTTCTCTATGCTTCCGTGTACTGAAGTGTGTGTACGGCGTGTTGCATACCTGCAACGCTCGGTATACACTCTATGGTGTCCATGTAATTGACCTGATCATCAGTCGTTAAGTCTGCCGAGGCGCGAATATTCCGCCACAAACCCAAACCATTTTCCCACCCTGTATTATCTCCTCTCATGATGCATCCGTTATGAAAAGACAAAATATTAACTGTCTATATTTCTGTATGTCCGCCCTTTCATTTCTCGCTATTTTCCGTACTAAAAATACAGCACATATTCGCCTTGACGTTATCTATATATAACCATTCATTATCATCAACAGATTCGGACAAAAAAGCTACATTCTTACAGACACTGGACACTTCAGAGCAAGGAAAGTATTTCTTCTTCTTCTTCTTCTTCTTCTTCTTTGTGCCGTTTCCTTCCCTGATGCTGGCTGTCATGGCCCTCCGCAATTTCCTGTCCTTTGTATCTCTTCTCTTTTTGTTATCTCTCTTAACCCATGTTCTGTCATTCACTTACGCAATTCTCACATTTACTCATGTCTTTGCTGTGTGTAGGCGAACATGGCTCGCTACATAAGCCCTTTTCTTCATTATCTGTGAATTTCCACGCATTCTTCCCATTTTTTCTTCTTCTTCTTCTTCTTCTTCTTCTTCTTCTTCTTCTTCTTCTTCTTCTTCTTCTTCTTCTATGTGCCATGTCCGTTTAGTAATTGGACGGTCATGGCTTTCCACAACTTCCTTCGTAATAAAAGAATAGTGATCACAAGACAGGAATAGACTTCTTCTTCTTCTTCTTCTTCTTCTTCTTCTTCTTTTCATCTTTCTTATTATTATTAATATTTTTCTTTCTTATTTTTTTCTTTAAGTTTTTCTTCTTTTTTCCTATTGTTGTTCATGTTCTTTTTTTTCACTTTCTTTCTTATTATTATTATTATTATTTTCCTTCTTTTTCTTCTTATTTTGCTTTTTTTTCTCATTTTCCTTCTTCTTCTTTTTCCTTCTACTACTATTAATATTTTCTTTCTTATTATTCGTCTCTTCTTCATGCTTTTATTCTTCTTTTTTTCTTGTTTTTTTCTTGTGTCTTCTTTTTGTCCTTCTTTTCTTTTTCTTTATCTTTTTCCTCTTTCTTCTTCTTTGACTTCTTCTTTTCATTTTCATTCTTGTTCTTAATTTCATTCTTGTTTTTGTTCTTCTTATTTTCCTTCTTCTTCTTCTTCTTCTTGTTATTATTATTATCATTTTCCTTCTTCTTATTATTATTTTCCTTTTTTATTTTCCTTTTTCTTCTTCTTCCTCCTCCTCCTTCTCTTCTTATTATTAATATTTTCTTTCTTATTATTTTTCTTTTCTTCTTCTTCATGTGTTTCTTCATTTTTCTTGTTGCTCATGTTCTTCTTTTCCACCTTCTTCTTCTTCTTCTTCTTCTTCTTCTTCTTCTTCTTCTTCTTCTTCTGTGTACCGTTCCTCTTCAGGACGTTGGCAGTCACGGCTTTCAAAATAACTGGTTTCCCAAAAATAAATTTGGTTAATGTAATAATAATTAAAAATAAATATTATACCTTTAAAAATTCCCTCATGATTATTTACTGTATAAAATATGTTTATAAAACAAAAGATAAATTGTTGTTCATCTTAGAATGTCTCTATTAGAATGCCTCTGTCGTGGCAGAAATATCAACTAAATCGCACAAGAACAGAGCGGGATTATGTCGTAATAATTGATTCACACAAACATGCAATCATTCAAACACGTCCCTCCACCTTCTTCTTCTTCTTCTTCTTCTTCTTCTTCTTCTTCTTCTTCTTCTTCTTCTTCTTCTTCTTCTTCTTCTTCTTCTTTGTGCCATGGCCTTTCACGGCGTTGACAATCATGATCCTACACAAATTGTACAACTCTTAGTAAATTTTATCTTTTTATTATCTCTCCTTAACCCTTTCTGCTATGTATTTCTACAAGCTTTTTATGTATTTCATACGCTTTTCTGTTTTGCCATCAATATGCCCTGTGAGCGATAAATTCTCCAAGCCCTTTTTTTTCCTTATATTCCCCAGAAATTTCAAAAGTCTCTTTCTGATGTTATATAGAAGTTTTCGATTTGTTTCCATGTTCTCTAAAACATCATCCTAGCCCACATGTTCCATCCATAGTATTCTCAGCATTCTTCTGTAGAACCATTTTTCTATCGCCCCATGTTTCTTCTTTATGTGTATGGAGATGATCCAACATTCGCTGTTGTATAAGAAAATATTAGTTACTTGGTATTACGTAACAGTTCACTATTATTTTACTTTTGTTTTCTAATGAATTTTTACTGTTTCTTAAAAACTAATTTGTATTTAATTTCCAGATCTGACATTAAACTTATGCCCCACTAATAGACACTATTGTCATGTACTGGGATATTTCTAAAAAAGAATATTATTTTAAAACATTTTGAGAATTTGCTCTATGCCTTTTGAAGCTTGTATTTTTTAATGAACTGAAAAGAATTTCAATCCCGGTGGTAGGGTTCTCCATTTTCATTTTAAAGCTTATTTATTGACCTCTAGTGGCCATAAATTGCTGGGTATTATTTCAAGGGACAATCTCGACCCTTAAAACGATTTTAAGGGCATGCTGTTCAAACATTTGCATTTCTTTCCTTTTCTGAATTTTAAGACTAGGTTCAATGATTTTAAGGTCCATATGAAAATAATGGCTCATTAAAAAACAAATGACGTCACACATTATGAAATGGAAAAAGTCAGACAATTATTTTAAGATAATGTTATGTTTATATATAAATTCATTTATACAATAAAAATATTTCAAAAACCGTCCAATCAATTCACACAAAATTTTCAAACAATGTTGGCAACACTAACCTGCGCAATCGCTGAAATTGTCTTACTGATCTGCGCAATGTAAACAAGCTGGCGCCATATTGTTATCAGCACAGTGATTTGACCGTGCCAAATTATTAGAAAAGTGTAAGAATTTAGTGGAAAGATGAGCCGTAAAAGCAGTTTAAGTGATGCTGAAAAGAAAACTATCACCTCAGAACTCTCAAAAGGTAAATCTACCCTAGAAATTTCTAAAATGATAGGGAGGTGGCATCAAACAGTGAAAAAGTTCAGTGCCGACCCTACACAAGTATGCAAAAGGGCAGATAAAAGCAAGTCGAGGGTTATTTCACGTCGTCTCATGTCACGACTTAAACGAAAGGCCACGAAGAACCCTGGACTTACCAGTCAAGTGCTTTTCAGTCGCATTGGGTATCCTACTGTGTCTAAAAGTACTCGGTGTCGGTATCTGAGGGAAATAGCAACAACAGTCAAACCTGTATCGAAGCCTCCGTTGACGAGAAATCACATTCAAAATCGATTGAGATGGGCCGAGGACAATATGAAGATTGACTTCTCTAAATTTTTGTTCACAGACGAAACTCGAGCAACACTTGATGGGCCAGATAGATGGTGCAAAGGCTGAGTAATGAACGGACAGAATTGCCATCAGCGTTTTAGACGCCAACAAGGCGGTGGAGGCATAATGATCTGGGGTGGTATTATTGGAAAAACATTAGTGGGCCCATGAAGAGTACCAGATGGCGTCAAAATGACTGATGATGCATACATAGCGTTTATGAAGGAGCCTCTTGAACCGTGGATGAAAAGGCAAAGAGTTGCTTTCAGAAGGGCCATTGTTTTTATGCAAGATAATGCTCCCTCACATGCTTCTCACAAGACTACTGAATATTTGAAACATTTAGGCTTCGATAGACCTCGAGAAATGAAGTGGCCAGCAAATTCTCCGGATTTCCATATCGAAAACCTTTGAAGCATCATGAAGCGAAGACTGTACGCCAACGGACGACAATTCAGGAGCAACGCTGAGTTGTGGGAAGCAATTCTTGACATATCTCGCGGCATTACAGCAGATGACATCCTACAATTAACAAATTCTATGGATCGTCGACTTCTTCAAATAATTTCAAAACAGGGAAAGAACATTCCCTATTAATTTGTTTAAAACTGTGCCTTTGTTTGTATCTGTTATTATTTGTTTGATTATCTTATTTATTAGCTTCTTTTGGTCATAAACATTCACGCGCAACATTAATAAACGTTTTGTTTGATCAATTCTGGGAATTTTACTAAACCTTTCTAATAATTTGGCACGCTCAAATCACCGTGCTGATAACAAATATAGCGCCAGCTTGTTTACATTGCGCAGATCAGTATGAAAATTTCAGTAATTACGCAGGTCAGTGTTGCCAACAGTGTGTGAAAATTTTGTGTGAATTGATTGGACGGCTTTTGAAATATTAGAAAAAAGTGATCTCGATAATAATTTGGCACCCAGTGTATATATATATATATATATATATATATATATATATATATATATATATATATATATATATATACAAATTCGTTATGTCTTAGCAATAATTATTCTTCTAAATATATTTTGCTAAAAACAATTGACATTTTATGTCTATTAAATTTATTGATCATTTTCTCTTGGGTGCAAATAACGTTTCATAAATAACGACTACTGTTGATGCATAAAATAGCCAGTCTTTAACTATTTTTTCTAACTAGATTTATAAAGTAGTCTAAACAAAGATGCATTCCAAAAGCTAAGGACAGTATTAAGAATCAACAAAACATCGTTTTAAACAAAGAAAAGCTTACTAACTGTTACATGATATCCACCCTCTTATATGGCAGTGAATTCTGAACAGTTTCCTCGCAGACGAAGAAGAAATTTGAAGCAACGGAAATGCTGAGAATGACAAGGGCAGACGTCTCATGTTCAGGCGTTCTGGGTATGATGATAAACTACATCCGAGTCCTGGGTAAGACGATAAACTATTTCCAAAAGCAAGGCCTCTGATCAGGAGGTTTTCAAGAACGTGGAACCATCTCTTCATTGCTCGTGTTCCCAGGTCCACCCTGACCGATGTGGTAGCACCTGTCCCAGCTATTGACAAATAGTTAACTCCCAAACTGGGGTCAAATCGCTATGAAAGTGAAAAAATAAGTTTGAAGTGGATATCTTAAAAATGCAGCATACGCGGACAGTTTTAGTTAGAGCCGTCGGATTGATTGTAAATGGATCAGAATAACCTCAAAGTGATAACTGGTAGCCCGTGCCTTATAGAAATAAAAAAAAATCGTACTCACAAACACATACATTACGAAGAGCATTATCTATGTAAAACGTGTGTGATCTTAGTTTTTTTTCTGACTTTAGGTTTCTGGTTGGGTCTCTGAAAGAAATGTGCATAAAACAGAAAACAAAGGAAATATTAATAATAATAATAATAATAATAATAATAATAATACACCGGCTGAAACTGCAAAATACCTAAAAAAAGACAGCAAAGACCAACCAACCAGTTACAGAAGCGATGGCAAGATAAACCGCTTAATGGCCAATACTCTGCCCGTACCAAACAAGCTGACGTAGACAAAACCCGTACCCATCAGTGGCTACGCAGTGCAGGGTTGAAAGCTGCGCAGGACCAATGCTTGCGAACTAGGAATTATCAAGCACATATACTAAAATATTGTGTCAGCCCAAAATGCAGATTCTGTGATAAATATCCAGAAACGATTGATCATCTTGTATCAGGTTGTACGGTGTTGGCACCCACTGAATATAAAACCCGACATGACAGAGTGGGCCAATATCTGCACTGGAAAATCTGCAACTTCTACGGGAAGGAAACTGAAAGAAACTGGTATGAACACCACCCAGACCCGGTTAGGGTGATAGGACCTGTTACAATTCTATGGGATTACACAATACACACTGACAGAACAATCAAGGCCAATCGGCCAGATATTGTTATTAAAGACCACAAACAAAAACGGTGCCTCCTTATTGATATGGCAGTCCCTGCTGACTGCAATGTATCTTTGAAGATATTCAAAAAGTTGTCAAAGTACAACGACCTTGAAATAGAAATCTCGAAAATGTGGCATATGGGCACATCAATAATCCCTGTTGTAGTTGGAGCCCTAGGACTGGTTGGAAAAGATTGCAGTAGACTAATTGAAGGGATTCCTGGAAGTCCATGCCTCAAGGAGATACAAAAAATTGTTTTGACAAGTACAGCCCACACCTTACGAAGGGCTTTATCTATGGAATTTAATTTTATTTTTTTTTTTTGTCAGTGGAAAGTGTCATGACGCCGTTTCTAACCTTTGGTCCCTGGGCAGGACCCGGAAAGAAATGTGTAAACGCCAGAAATCCAAGGAAATAATAATAATAATAATAATAATAATAATAATAATAATAATAATAATATGAAGTTTCAAGTGTCTGAAGAAATGCAACTATACCATAATACATCTACTGCAACCTAACCCCCCCTAAAAAAAAAAGAAAGCAAAAGTAAATACAATAGACCAAATGCAGAATTGATGTCAAGATAAGCCTCTTCCTGGTCAATACTCATTGCCAAACAAGCTGATGTAGACAAAACCTCATACCTATCAGGAGATTACCTCGTGCAAGATTAAAAGCTGGAAAAAATGTTTTATTCTTGATGCACATGACTAATGTTTACTAACTAGAAATGACGAAACATACATACTGAATAATTGCGTCAACTCGAAATGCAGATTCTGTGATAAATATACAGAAATAACTGATTATCTTGTATCAGGTTGCACAGTAATAGCACCCACTGAATATAAAATTCGACATGACAGAGTGGCCTAATATCTGCACTGGAGAACATACAACTTTTACGGGAAAAGAACTGCAAGAAATTGGTCTAAACATCACCCAGATTCGATTACATTCATAGAACCTGCAACAATTTTATGGATTTACAATACGCACATATAGAACAGTCAAAACTAATCACCCAGACATACTGATCAAAGGCCACAAAACCAGAACGTGCTTTCTTATTGACATTGCAGATTCCAAGGTATCTTTGAACACATTAAAAAATTATCAAAATTTATACAATTTATTGAGGTTATAACATGTACGTATTTAGTTTGAGCGAATTAAGACCGATTGCAGTAAATAATCTGTACAACAGTTTAACTTGTCAGTTTATTGACTATAACCAGTTGGGCATATACCCTAGAGCATAACACACTGTAAATTTTTGATCATGAGCAGGAGTAGTTAGGGAGAATTATGGCGAAATGTGAAGAGGGTTGCTGTTTTTTTTGGGTTTTTTTTAAGTTTACAGGGCGAAGCAGCCAAAGCGACGTTGGAGCTATATCTAGATACTTGGGTTTACGCCCATATCACGTAGAAACACCGGTTTCTATACGATCACCGAAGTTAAGCAACGTCGTGTCTGATAAGTACCAAGATGGGTGACCGCTTGTGAATACCAGATGCTGTAAGCTTTGATGTGCAGAGAGATTAATTGATAATAATCGGAATAGTTTGATCGGAAAGCCGAGTTCCAATTCCAGTTGGTTTCGCGCAAATACGCCGCTTCTTCCTTCAGCTTTTGGTTAATTAGTTTTATCACTAAATCATTAAATCCGGAGGAAACCAAAATTCTTACAATCTAAAAAATATTTTCTGACTTTAAATAACCTGTAAAAACTTGAAATTGAGTTAAAAAAACGAATCAATCAAAACATATAGATAGTTAGGAACACTTTCAATTGAAGAAAGTCTGAGCGGACTGTGTTACGTGTCGTGAATCTATTTCTAACTGGACCCTACCTGTAAGTTTATCTGCTACTTTTATCAAAGCCTGTCATCAGATAGCGTACATTTCGCTGTGATCCATGAACTTGGTATACATTTATTTGATTGGGTATCATGATGAGTATATGGGTAACCCATTATCACTTTGTTGGGCTGCTGATCTCTCACTTGATAATAATAATAATAATAATAATAATAATAATAATAATAATAACCTGTTACAATTCTATGGGACTGCACAATACACACTGACAGAACAATCAAAGCCAACCGCCCAGATATTGTTATTAAAGACCACAAACAAAAAAAAGTGCTTCCTTATTGATATGGCAGTCCCTGCTGACTGCAATGTATCTTTGAAGATATTCAAAAAGCTGTCAAAATACAAGGACCTTGAAATAGAAATCTCGGAAATGTGGCATATGGGAACATCAACAATCCCTGTTGTAGTTGAAGCCCTACGACTGGTTGGAAAAGATTGCAGTAGACTAATTGAAGGGATTCCTGGAAGTCCATGCCTCAAGGAGATACAAAAAATTGTTCTGACAAGTACAGCCTACACTTTACGAAGGGCTTTATCTATGTAATATATATATATATATTTTTTTTTTTTTTTTTGTCAGTGGAAAGTGTCATGATGCCATTTCTAACCTTAGATCCCTGGGCGGGACCCGGAAAGAAATGTGTAAACGCCAGAAATCAAAGAAAATAAATAATAATAATAATAATAATAATAATAATAATAATAATAATAACTAGAAATACACGAGAGTCTTCCACATTTTTTTCTATTTAAATTTTCTGATGAATTTTAATTCTTAAGTTAATGATTTAAGAAACACTTTGTGAGCTGCTCGACTAAAAAAAAATCCAGTGGAATTTCCTCTATTGCATCATTAATTATTTGAGCTGATAAACTTTAACAAGATATTTTCATAAGAATCATAAGTATAAATGCAAATCATTATTTTAAGATGTAAGAGGGTACAAATGAAATGATTCAAAATTGACAAGGTTTTCATTTCACTGAAGTAGACGTTACCATTAAGCGTTATAGCATCGAGTGTACATGTGTTAAATATACATTATAGATATTTATGGAACAAACACATGCAAAGTTAGCAGTTATTTTCTTTCTTTCTCTATTTCTTTCTTTCTTTGTTTTATTGCTTCTTTCTTTCTTTCTTTAATTCATTCTTTTTTCTTTTCTTCACTCCTTCTTTCTTTCTTTCTTTCTTTCATCCCTTTTTTCTTCTTTCTTTCTTTTATTGCTTCTTTCTTTCTTCCTTCTTTCTGCTTTTTTCTTTTAGTGCTACTTTCTTTCATCCCTTCTTTCTTTCTTTCTTTCTTTCTTTCTTTACTTCATTCTTTTTTTTTTTCTTCACCCCTTCTTTCTTTCTTTCATCCTTTCTTTCTTTTTTCTTTTATTGCTTCTTTCCTTCACCCTTTCTTTCTTTCTTTCTTTCTTTACTTCATTCGTTTTTTCTTTCCTTCACCACTTCTTTCTTTCTTTCTTTCTTTCATCCCTTCTTTCATTCTTTCTTTTATTGCTTTTCTTTCTTCCTTCTTTCTGCTTTTTTCTTTTAGTGCTTCTTTCTTTCTTTCTTTCTTTACTTCATTCTTTTTTCTTTCCTTCACCCCTTCTTTCTTTCTTTCTTTCTTTCTTTCTTTTATCCATTCTTTCTTTCTTTCTTTCTTTCTTTCTTTTATCCATTCTTTCTTTCTTTCTTCCTTGTCTTCTTTATATCTTTCTTTCTTTTCCGGCAACTAAACAGCGCCTCTGATATGTCTTCCGTCGTTCCTTGCCCCGCTAATTAAGTTACTGCTCTAGGTAAATTATGAAATTTAACATGTATTAATCAAATTAATGATATGCAAATCTTCGTGTATATCGTAATGGATGCTTGACAGTCACACACCACATTTTGATGAAGAAACTGGAAGCTACAGTGATATGTTTCTGCCTAGAACAGTGTAGACCAAATAGGAGAGTAACGAGGAAGTTTTAAAAAATAGGATCTACAAAGAAATTAATACTAATAATCAGAACGAGAGAGTTTAAATGTCTGGCTCATATAAAGAGGGAAGATGACCTAAAAAGTAACCTTCAGAGGGCAGTTTGAAGAGAAGAGAAGCAGAAATAAGGTGGGAAGCAATCTATTTGACGGGTTTGGGACAAAGAAGGAAAGTGTCGAAATTACTTAGATCAACAAAAGACAGGAAGTTGTAGAGAGCCACATACCCCTAGAGAATTTAACCTTCACAGGACGTATTGAAGGCCAGAGAAGCAGGGGGAAACAGTGAGTAACCTACTTAATGAATTTCAGAGATTGGGTGGTAGAACGGGGTATCAAGAGGTATCATGAAAGATCAAAATTACTTAGAGTAACAAAGGACAGGAAATTGCGTACAGCCATTATGGACATGCCAAATAAAACGAGGTATATGAACACTTTTATTACGTATATGTACAAATAACACACGGGTACATACGCACGTTTGTGTGTATTAGATATACATTATAGATATTCATGGAACTCACACACTCAGTTAGCAGTTGTTTGAAATAAACATCGTCTGAAGTCAGACTATGGACAAAATCAATATTATCCATTCTGAATATAGAATCGTTAGACTGTTTTGATGTTTAAAGAACTTTTCACACACACACACAGACATACACACACACACACATTACAGTATTTATAGAATTTTGAATTAAACAGAATCCAGTAACACACACGCACACACACACATACACACACACACACACACACACACATATATATATATATATATATATATATTATAAAATGGACAAAGTCCGACAATTATTTTACGACATTTTATGTTTATATATTCTTTTTTTTATGCATACAAATATTTAAGTAAATGCTCTGTTTATAATAAACAGTATTAACAGCATTTACCTACCTGAATGTCCGAGAAATTGTTATAGAAAATATGCGTCCTCCGACAGGAATCGAACTGTGGCGAAATCGGTAAAAGCCTGTCAGGCTATGTGACGGATACAGGTTCGATTCCTGTTGAAGGACGCATATTTTCTATGACAATTTCTCGGACATTCAGGCCGGTAAATGTTGTTAATAATGTTTATTATAAACAGAGCGTTTATTTAAATATTTGTATCTATAACAAATTGAATGTATAAACATAAAAATATATATATATATATATAAGGGTTTACTGAAATGTTCCTGAACCAACCATATGCTGTCATACATTCTAATGTTTGAACATTTTAGGACTGGGTTGGCTTGAAAGAATTTCATCCTTCGTACACACAAAAGCACATTTTTAATTGATAAAAAATTAAGGCAATAAAGCCCCTGAGACAAGACAGGTTATTGGGAAGGTGTGAAAGACAAATAGAAATATTGCTAAGGGGCAAGAACAAAAGAATAATAATCAAGAGGATAGTAGATAGTCATTGCATTTAAATTTGTGTAGATTAAAGTTGGCTGGAAAGCAATGAGTTCGATAAGCGTGACGTGCGAGAAAGGAAATTGTTAGCATAGAATGTACGCCTACATCTAGCCAGCTCAACTGTAAATTGATGAGATCACGACTCCAGACAGGTACTGCGACTACATTCAAAGAGTCTAGGCACCATAGTGAAGAGCTATATTTCTTTCCGCTTCAATACAGAAAATGTGGCACAGGGCCAAAAATGGGAAATGGGGAAAAGGACGGTCTACTTTCGTCTTAACTTTAAACTTAGCTAGCCACAAACACTGACCCAAACATACCACAATATTTATAACATCAAAACAACGCATTCTTACTTACCTTTCTTACTACATCCACCATAATACCTCATTGTCTCTATGAAAGTCCTAACTACTACCCATATGTAAAATTGTCTGGAGGGGGGAATAAAACAACAATTTAAAAACTAGCCCAAATGAGTATTTACAATATGGATTCAAATCTATTTACAAGAAACAAAACAATAATGTTAGTAATACCCGCTACACACACAACCTTTAACTGTGGCAGAAACATCAGTTAACTGAACGAAATCAATGCGGGACTATAATAATATAAAACATTTATTTATCCAAAGCACTCACACAAACACACATTCAGACAGAGACAACAACAATACAAAAAAACACACCGGAAACGAAAGGCGCCCGGCATCCACTACAAAACTGACATCACTAACCACCTAACGTGGGAAGAGATTGGGATTTAAACCATAGTGAAGAGCTCATCTGAAAAATTATCATGAAAGTATTTATAGAAAAGGCACAGGGAGGGAAACTTATGGCGATGATAAACAGAATGAAGCCGAGACGCCAGATCAGGACCAATAATATTGCTGATTCTTTTTTTGGATTTTATCAAAGAGCTCTAGGTAAATAGCATGGACGAATTGTAGACATATATAAGATGAATTTCGGAGTGAAAAAATATTTCTCACGACATTGTAAACCAACTTTCTTAGCTACTGACCTAGCAGTGGATTCAATGTAGTCTTTCTACGCCATTGTTATGGTGGAACACACCTATTCTATACTTAATAGACTCTCTCACCTATAATAAGTAGGAGTAGTAAGAGTAATGAGTGGGTGAGTCAGTCAGTCGATGTCGGACGACAGTTAGTCAAATACGAAAGTATCAGCGACCACAACAAGATTGCTCTGCGTTATACTTACTATATGAAGTTCCTAACGTTTTGTACGTCGAACCTATTTTAGGACGGGCTTAGTACAAATACAAGCCTCCACTGCGAAATAACTCCACAACACCCATGTCAGCCGAGAACATTATCCCGAGGAGGCGCTCTCTCCTGGAGATCAGCATCCACCATGCTGTGGTAGTGGGGGAGATTGGTTTCTTAGAGGATTAATCGAGAGTAGTTTAGTTTTGGAGGCGTTAAAATTAACAAGCCATCCTTTGCCCCAGTTAACAACAGACTAAAGGTCGTTTTGGATGTCAGCTGCCATTTCGACCATATCAAATTGATCAGAGTTACTCTCAAGACAAATGGTTGTGACATCAGCGTAGATACCAAGTTGAGAGCTGATGCCATCGGTAAGGGCATTAAAGAAAATTAAAAAGAACGTAAGACAAAATATGGAACTCTGGGGGACACCTGCACTAATACGAAAAGAAATGGAAGAGTGGCCATTCAAGATTACTTTCATTTCACGATTTGATAGGAAAAATTGTATCAGCTCAAAAATTTTTTTTTCCGGGGACAGCGTTACTTTTCAGCTTGTGAAGAAGACCTGTATACCAGAATCTGTTGAAAGCTTTCGAGATGGCCAGATCTACAGTCCGGGCTTGACCATTCTTATCTAGAGCCTTATAGACTATTTCCGCAATTATCATCAGTAGATCATCAGTTCACCTGGAGAAACGAAAACCATATTGCCTGTCTGAAAAAAAAAAACTTGCGATATGAGATGATTAACCAAATTGGCATTGATTATGGCCTCTAGATGTTTCCCCAAAACAGGTAGAAGGCTAATAAGCCAATTGTTAGAAATGTCGGTCTGTTCACCCGAGTTCTTAAAAAGTGGGGCAAAAGATAAGGACTTCCCGCAAGGATGCGAGGTACTTATTATACAGTTTAGAGAGACCAGAAGCCAGTTGGAGAGCACACTTCTTAATGAGTATTGCAGGGGTGCCATCAGGACCGCATGCTTTGTAGGGATCCAGATTAGAGATGATAGCAGAAACCATAGAAAGGGTTACATACATATCATTTAACAGAGACTCAGTTCTAGGTGAAAAAATAGGCAGGGATACTCCAGATGAGTCAAGGGTAGAGTTTAAGGAGAATCCACGGACGAAACATCAGCAGAAGATATTAACACCTCAACTTGAATGAAAGGAGGGGTAGAGAACTTACGTTGCAACAGTTTACTAAATGTACACCATTACAGAGCCACCATTAATAACGAGAGCCAAAGATTTTAGATGCAATACGATAGACTCGGCTCCTTCAAAGATTCGTTTACATGTTGAGATGGGAATTGTCACGTTGGTATAGCCGGAAATAGTGGTTTCTGTAGGCTATAGCGGCAGAGCATGGTGGTGTGAACCATGGTGAAGACTGAAGTTTCACTTTGTATTTCCGAGAAAGAATGAAAGCATCCATACCGGCTTTGACCCAAGAGGAAACCTCAGTGGCACAAATTCTCAATTTGAAGTTTAAAAATGTCTGTCCAATGGGTGTCCCGAAGAATATCAACGAGTTAGTCCCAATCAGCGTGTAGGTAACGGAAAGCTGTCATGAATAGGAGATTCTTGTTGAACAAATTATTGGAACGAAATATCAATAGATACTACAGAGTGATCCGAGTTTCCAATAGGACAGTGTTGCGACGCTCGGCAAGAGCGAGAAGTGGAGGTAAGAAATAAGAAGAGTAGCCTGTTGTTTGGGCTTGTAAGAGAAAACGGTTAGGGAAATCCACGATTTGTATAAGGGACTGAGCAATGGAAAAATTTAATACCTGAATACTAGCAACGTCACTAACATTAAAATGTTTAAGCCACGTGACGTGTTGCGCTTCAAAATCACCGAAGACAAAGATGGTAGCAGATAGATGGAGTGAGAGTGGCATTCTATACTGTCAGAGATGAAACAGCAGTTTGAGAAGAACGGGAGTGTTAAAAGAAAGAGATAACTAACAGAGTGTAATAATGAAACATGAAAGCACATGAAAGAGTAGTCTGGGAAGTCGAGAGATAATTCCCTTGCCATCGGCAGATTATCCCGGATGTATACACCAGGGC